GTGTTTCGGTGAACTCATTTTCTAAAACCAACATCTACACAGTCCGTTGGCAATTATTTTATAAATACTTGATTAAAATTCTCGTTATTTTTGACAAGATTTAAAACTCAAATTTTGTGTACAACAAATATAGTAAATTCTTACGTAAAGTATTTTAGAACAATCCTTTACACTTTATTTTATAATGGGAAGAACAATTATTTACATTTTATTTTAGAACTATCTTAGAACGACACAAACTATCCTTTACAATTTTTTTTAAAATGGCAAATGAGATTCCCAGATTACATTTGACCAATTAAAACTCTCTGTACATTCAGTTTTTTCCTATAAAACCTTTGTCAAACTGATTATAGACCGATCTTCAGCCGGAAAAACATGCATATACAATTAAAAAAGGAGACCACGATTTATCTTGCATGGGGTGAAATTCTTATCCTATCAGGTGGTGTAGTCTAAGCAATCAAAGATCTCATAATTGCCCATCTTTCATTTTCATCTCCTGTTAAATGTGTCCTTTTGTAGGTATTCAAAGCTTGAGACTGTTGTTGAAAACTTTGATTGTAGGTAAGATGTTATCAATTCTACAAACACAGTTTCATATCTAAAATCGTTAGCTTCAGTACCTAAAATAAACGATTAACAATATAATTTCATAAAAAATATTTATATTATATGTTAGGTATTGCAATACGCTTTGCATTTTACCACAGTCCAAAATTAAATGTGAAAGTGTCTGTCATGGCGGTTACAAAAAGTAAAAGTACACTTATCGTTGTTAACAATTTTCATTAAAAAACAAAACGACAAACAACTGAATTTGTCGCCAATATTTTATCTTGAACCATTAAACATACGAATGTTTGATATTATAGTTAAAAAGAGAACTATGTATTAAGGTTGTTAGACAATTGGTATAGGACTTTTTCGTCTGTAGCAAGTTCTAAAATTATAACTTAAATCTACAAATTTTCCGTGTTCGTTGATAATATCTTTAACAAATCTAATTCCTTTATTACATACATGTAGTGTGTGGATGAAATTTTATCAATCTCCAGATTAACAAATTGTGATTATAAAATAAAGGCATGCTTAAAGGTTGTTTTGGACTATACAAAATGTGTCTATGATGGTCAAATAGGCTTTCAAGACATCAATCCAGAATGCATTTCTGATATCATTTCACAAAACAGTTTTCCAGTGTTAGAAACTAACCTCAATATTAAATAATATGATTATTAGATACCATTACATTCTTGTCCTACTTGAATTTTATATGATCACAGATAGGATATATTACCTGCTTTCTAAATGTGTCCTTTTAAAACTTGTTTGTGATTTCTTGGCTTCACATCGCATTAACATGTTTTTTATTTATTCAGGTCCGCCAATTGTTTAACTATACGACAGAAAATTTTAAATAGTGACACTCGAGTGTTTGAACACTCGGAAAAGCAAGTTTTCGCGTTTATGCTAGACGCTGTGCATATGATAAATTGGACAGGTAAATGCATATGCGCAGTAATCCGATATATATAGGGTCAATTTGAACTTGTGTATGATGATTCAAATGATCTTACTTTTCTGGAAAGTTGCATTGATAACGATGTCAGAGTAACAGCGTGATTTTGAAAATCGGTTAAAAAGCTATGGTCATGCTCGCTATCGAACAACAGTCCCAAAAAACAACATCAATGCGGTTTTCCATACAGGCAGTTGTCCAGAGAAAGAACACTTACTTCAGAGGTGCGAGGCCTTGTAAATATCCTGTTGAATTACTTACATGACAAATGGTTCTTAAAAGCCCATTATACCCTAGAAATGTTTTTATTTTGTAAAAGCCTTTAATCTTTGGAGCCCTGTTTTAATTTCAAAACATTAATTAGTACAGATATATTGATTTAGTATTTTATATATTTTATTTTTTATGGAAGTAAAATACTATTTTCTTTACATATCTTCCTACTTTTATGACAAAAATGTTCTCATTCACATTAAATTTCTTCTTAATAAGAAGCATTTATTTTATGCTTTTCAGTGGATTACTGATTTATCAGTGAAAATTATATTTGATAATTTCACAGTGAAAATTATCAAAATATAATTTCACTTTTTTCAATGACGAAACTACTTTTTTAAGATTTTTCCCATGTGGCACCTCAATTTTATTTTTACTGACAATTCTGACAATGTCAGGCTGTTAAAAGAAATAGCAAAGCTGAAATAGATAAATAACTTAAATGTCAAAAGTAATAAAGAGAGAAATCTTACTTCTATTCATTCAAATTCCAATCACCAAATTTCGTCTCTAAATTTTTTGTTTCGTTTTTGCAGTCTGAAAAATACATTCTTTCCCCATGCAAAACTGCTCTTGATGACATTTGGGCATATTAAAGTATCCTACGAGCAATAACTGCCGTATGCTTTATGAAAAATTGAAAAGCATTGACACCCATCACTCGTAGAATAAGTAAAACAACCCAGCGTTCCTTAGCAAGCTTCCAAGTTTTCCATTTTCCTAGCTCCCTTTCTGAATGTTTTCACTTCTGTCAACACTTATTTTTTGTCTGTTACAATCCTCAAATAAGTTTTCTTTCTTTTAAAAAGGTGTATGACTAACAAATCCAAATTATATCCCTCTGAATCTTACACAATTATTTTCCTCCCATGAAATACACAACTTTAAAAAATGGCTGCCGCTTACATCTTACAAAGCCAGGTCCAATATAAATTCGCAGTAAGTAACAGAAATATGGATGGATGGTTGGACTTTTTCTCCTACAAGAATTGTTTGTTTTTATTATTAAAACAAGCGATCATTCATATTTTTTTAATAAAATGAATAAATATCACCGTCATTTAACCTTGATTGGCGGACTTATTTTTCAGCTCAAGACTTCTTGTTTTTAATGAGAAATTCCGTCTAAAATTGGGCTCTCAATGGGGGAAACAGATTTTAATATTAACGTTAAAATTATGGAAATTTCGTTTTAACTTGTTTTTAAGCATAAAATAAAAAGAAAATTTGTCTGTTTGTTGTGTAAGATGTAATTTTATTTCATCTCATGAACTTTAAAAACAGTATTCTCACTCGTGGCTACACAAACAAACAAATACCCTCTATTTAACATATCCTAAAACTAGCATTCGATCGGCATGAAACTCCCTTTAGCCGTTTTTAAAAGCTTTAAGAATTAATCGTTTTAAAGGTATAACTTGCCCTTTAAGTAATTAGATAATACATGTATATGCACAAGAAACAAATACATTTACGTTTTGCAAACATAGAAAAATGTAAATGACTGATATTTAGAAGTAAATTATTCGGCGTTCAAGCATTGGAGTTTTCTTATTATATACATAATATACAAATCTTTTAAGCAGAAAATAAAGGTTAAAGAAATGATAACGTACTTTCCTACCTATGTATTAAAGTTCGCATATTGACGCTAGACTTTCTGTGAACTGACTATATCTTCACAGCTGTTCTTAATCTTCCTGGATAAAATTTACGTTGAATTCTATACACTGATTAAGAATTTGAAACTCTAATAAATTTGCCACCTGTTTAATGCACTGATGTATCTGGGCGCAACTTCTTTGAACACAACTTTACACCAATTAAGCATTCGTAATTAACTATAATCGCGTATAAAATGCAGATATTACTTGAACATATCAGTTTTAACTTCCCAAACTAACAAAATACTGATATTTAGGTTATATCATATCTAATTAGCAGACATATGTTCACTGTTTCTTTTAAACATAAGGTCCAGACTGAGGGATTTGCAATAATGCAATGATTATTGCAAAAATGTTTTTAAACTTTATATGTCTGTGCTTTGCTAGGAACAGAGCCTTAAGAATCTAGCAACAGTAAATGACAATAATAAAGATCAACAAGGCAAAGGCAAAGTAATTCTTCGAAATTGTATAGTACTGTACCGATAGGTTCAAATAAATGAAACTTAAAAAGATCATTGAAATTTTACTTTGTAATCGTCACAAACTTTAAAAAAAGGGTTTCTATAAAAACAAAATTGACTTTTTTGATATTTGGTAAAACTCACAGGGCTGGAGCAACAAATGAATAGATGACACCTTCATGATTGACCAAAAAATTATATGAGCAATCCAAGATTTTAGTGTTTTTTTTTATTTAAATCACAAATACGCTGTTAAGGTCATGTCACGATTATTATACAGATAAAGTAGATCTCGTGATGATATTTATACAATGTCAATTTGTCAAGCAATTTGTTCCTTGATGATTAACTCTCTAACATCAACATTATAACATAACATGACTAGCTTTGAACAAACAACAGAGGGAATACATAAGATAATTTAGCAAATGAGTTTATACTGTTCAAAATGTTCTACTAATGTGTTACAATGGCCGTACGTCATACTAATTGTATAAACACGTACAATAAATGAAATAAGAGAAAAGTTCTATTATATCAACATCATTGATTATAATATTAAACAAAATGTATCGCAATATCAACACAGAAGAAATTGATGGCAAACGAGTCGCGCCTATTAATTCAAAATATTTTATTCTGTCTGTTGTTATTGTAACTGCTGTTAATGCATAAAAATCCGTGTATTGTATGACTTGAGTCGTGAGATTTTGTTCCTCTTCGAAATAGTTTTTGTGATGTAAAAAAATCTAATGCATTGCGATTTCCTTACATTTGTGCTTAAATATAATGATAATAACATACATATACGGGCCTCATTTTCAAACACACAGAATTTCCGTGAATAAATACAAGAGTTTCTCGAACAGGGTTCAATCCATGAAGCTTCTCAGATTTTATGTAACAACTTACCTAATGAAAATGAGGTTCTCACTGTTATTTTCATTTGTTATTGTCATTGGAATATATAGTTATAATTTTTCTGAGGCTAGAGAGCCTGTATGTTCAAAATTTTCATATGAAGAACAGCTTTTAGAGAAAATGATAAGGACTGAAATTAAGGTAGAAACAATGGTAAATGAAATTAAAAAAACCGAGGATAATGTCATCAGTACGTTAGGTGACATTAAACGAGCAGTTGCTGATTTTACAGACATGTTTGCAGATATGAGAGGAAACATAACCGATGAGATGATAAAGAGAGGCGAGGAGATAAAAAGGAGTGAAGGTATAATAAAACAGTTATTTCACATCAAATTCACATTTCTTACAGCATATTAAACTTTTAAATGCTAAGTTAAAAAAATGTATATACAAACTATTGTATTTTTTGTGGTGTCTCAGTCAAGGGAGCTAAATGATGAATTCAAAATCTATAATGTTAATTGAGTAACTCCCCCTAGCGTAACAGTTCCAAACTTATGAGACTTTTTTCTTGGAAAATTCTCGTGCTATATACACTGAATTACAGCTTTTGTATACACATCCCCTCTTGTAAATATTGTATTCAGTTTTATTGGCTGAGCTTTATTTATTACATTGTTTTATAATTGTGTAAATAAGATGTTATTTTACCCAGTCATTTGTAAAGCACAATTCAATTGGTGTTGTTGCTTCTCGTACTGATGTACTTAAATTTATGAACTAACTTCGAAATGGCATCCTTTTAGAAAGTGTATAAACATGTTAACGGAAACAATTAAAATAAAACAAAAAAATAAAGTTTATACTTTGTGCATGTTTCTAATTATATATAGTTTTGTAATTGTTGGTTTTAAAGATGAAAATACATTGCATATCTCAATAATTCTTATTGATTTGTTAATGAGAAATAAAGTACAAAACAATATATTTCTGCTATATATAATTACGTTTATCTGTCAACTATATATACAATGTATAAAACTATCTATGTTGCAGAAATGACGTTTAATATACCAATTTCTACAAAAAAACACATGTGTTTTTTTGTATATATGTATATGCCTTATATTTCCATTTATTGTTTTAAACAAATTGACATTATGCTCATATTCTCAAAGTCAAGTTGAGTTGAATTGACTTTACATTTCAAAACATTGACTGTTACCAACGGATTATATTTGAAAATGTTTAGGATAAAATTTAAAATCTGGCTAAAGTATAAAAAAAACTGCCCTACTCTTTTTATAAATTGAACGTAAGAGGTAAATTCTAAATGATATTTACAGATATTTCGTTTGGATCAATGCGCTATTTATGGCTTATGCCAAGTAAATTATTAAATCAAAAGGAATTATGGCAAAATGAAAATTTATTTTGACTCTCACCTGTTCACTCACTATATACCTTTAGATAGGCATAATGTGACTACAATATCCAGAGCATGTAATGAATGACACAAAGATAATAAACGATACATGCTTTACTTTTTTTTAATTCCAAGGAATACCAAAAATATTGCAACTATAGTGATAGGATGCTTACTTGAAATCTTGCGTAATAAATACCCTTAAACTTGGGTTAGGTATTACTTTATAGATTTTCATACTTAATTACAGAATCGTTCAAAACATTATCTGAGGAAATAAGGAAAAGCCTAACAAGTGGTATCGAGGCTGAAAAAGAGAAACTTGTTCAACTTCAAGGTATTGTTACCTATTGTATATCATTTGTGTTTGATTTCTTTCTATCTACAACGGATCATAGTAAAATAAATTGTTCCCTTCTTGACTCATGTTTTATCTTGGTATATCATTGGTCAATAATATATAACAAACTATGTTAATATAATAATATGTTGCTCCATATGTAGAAATATCATATGACGTTTAAGTGATTGTGTTTACAATTTTGCATTCTAGTTTTTAATTATTTGAATTATTTAAACTGTATAGCTATTTGTCTGATATAAGTATAGGGTTTTGCTATTTGTATATGCCCCTTGATTTAAGTATCTTAGATATTTGTTTTACTTTTTACAAAAATAATCGCGTTAGTTCAAATAAATTATTAAAAACACAAAATACATTTACTTTGATATTTTACATTGACAATACAAAACGGAAACCCAGAATAACCTGCCCTACAAAAAACAACGATCTTATGTATTACAATATAATATACATAAATATTATTTCTACACGCAGGAAAACTTGAACAACCTCCGATCGCTTTCTACGCACATCAGTTGAAAGACATGATACTTGATACAACGGATGAGATTCTCATATTCGAGAAGACATTCACTAACGAGGGAACAGGTTACGACACGTCCACAGGCTTGTTCACAGCTCCTGTTGGTGGACTGTACCAGTTTGTTGTTCATACATGTCCTTATAAAGAAAAACATGCTTATCTTGGATTGGTGTTGGAAGGAAACGTTATTGCAGCACATGCTTACGATGCTGATAATACATATGGCTGTAATACGTTTGGTGCAATAGTAAGAGTAAAATCAGGAGCCAAAATTTGGGTCAAATCCACAGCGTCAGGTTCTAACTACCAGCTTTATCAAAGTGTATATAGGTTCAACACATTTAGTGGACTACTAGTGAATAACTGAAGTAAAAATCAACAAATAAACAATAATGTTAATAAACCTATTTCAGTGTTAATACGAAACGTAATTAGGTTGGTGTAAATTGATTCTGTTGATTAATACTCGTAATCACATCAGGTTCAGACTATGATTTGTCTCTTGACAAGCTGCATGCCTATAGATGAGCCAAAATATTAAAATATCAAAATTGTGAAAAATGTACATTTTAAGAACAGGGAAAAGACTCAAGATGAAAGCAATAGTTTGCATGTTATATGCGATTTATGATTAATTTTGCAGCTTTTGTCACCATATTTTCACTGCAAGACTAGGGCTGTGTTAGCTTATTTTGTCCACTTTTGGCAATTACATGAGTTGTACGTGTCGCTTGTAATGTGTAAAGCGCTTTCGTTGTTCATAACACAATAGCTGACTTTAAAAATAGTTACAAAAAAATCATGAAAATGAGCATGAATATGTAGGGGGTGCTGCTTTAAACCACAGGAACTGTATCTAAAATTTTTCTTTTTGCCGCTATGAAAGCAATGTGGTATAAGTACAGTAATATAGAATTTGAAAAGAAGGTTATAGAAGGGAATTTCTGTTCTTTTCCTAGGCCTAAAAAGATATTATGTAAGATGCCTTGGTTACTGGAATGGCCTTTTAGAATTTATTGACATATATGGTCCTCACACGATCTGTCTCTTCGGAATCCATTTTGTTTACCGGTCAACAAATTTGTCATCAAGATATTAAGAAATCCTTGCTTATAAGAAAGCTATATACATGTAGCTTATCTACACATGAGAGTTAATATACGCCACTATAATTCAACGCTTATCTATTGTCGGAATTTTTGTCATTTAAACTCGGCATAAAATTCTCCAATCGCTCAACCAAATAGAAATTGAAAGAGGTTATGTTATACTGCTACTACTAGAGGACGGCATATGGAATGTTACCGACACCACATGCAGAATCATGTCAACTTTAAAGATTTATTTGATGAAGTTAATATTTCAACAATTCTCACCCTTAAACAGCAATTAAATTTCATTTACTGTTAAATAGCAGCATTATATTTGTATTTATGAAAGAAATATTGAAAATAAGCTAAATGAAATAAATATGATGTTCATGCAGTCTGTTCCCTTATATCACTTTTATCAAGAAACCTTTTTAGATCTTTTAGATCTTTTATTCTTACAAAGGTTTCAGAAAATAATATATCTTACGTTATATTTGTTGTGGTAAAAATAGCCACTCATACTTAATGTGTACACTGATTTTTATTGATACAAAGGTTTTCAGGACATAAATATAACAAGCATGCATCATTCATAAATAATACATCATCTACAGTTTATTAATAAAGATGATTCACTCATGTATAACCACCTTATTGAAAAAATGTTTCAATTTTTTCAACTTCTGTAAAGTGACGTTAAGTCTACTTGTGTGGACCTGCTGTGGTATACTGTTTCTTTGGCTAATGTTCAATTTCTTATTATTTCTTAAAGTATTTTCCTAACAGATTGCCGATGTTGATATCAGTATATAAACCAGGAATTATAAGATTTCGTTAGGAACACAGATTTCTTTATTCAAATATATCATGATTTTATTAAGGTTCTGCCATTTTTGCAAATGATGTATAAATATTATGTAAATAAATTAAACAATGAAAATGTTACGACTGGAGCATGTCAGCGTAAGCAAATGACGTCACGATAACACCAGAGCCTCATTTGCCCTTTTTCAACGCAAGTACCGTGGATCTAAATGCATGTTTTTGTTTCTGCAACCATTGTGTGTATGTATGTATCACTGAACCAGACAAAACAACAATTTGAGTATACATACGACGCTTGTTGGAATTCTCAAACCGTAACCCTAGTATATCTGCTTTAATGTCCAGAAAAAAATCGGGATAGATCTAGGCTGTAGACAGGATTATTTAATGCTTCTCTATGCGTCTTGTCTCAACCCTTGCAAAATTTATTATTAGCTTTTACGTCGACGTCACCCATTGACGTCATGATTTTGAATTGCTGGTCAGTGACAACGCTATCAATATTATTGTTAATAATATAACATTTAAAATGTTCACGCGGAGTTAAACGTTAACAGAAATGCACACAAGGCAAATGCTTATCAGTTCCAAAAAGAAGTAAAAATTTAATTTTTAACGTGCCCCAGGAGTGCCAATGAGTGTTGCTATAGACATTGATTACTCAGCGAATAAAAAAAGACGCTTTATGAAATTCTACGAACTCTCGGATTGCGCCATTATACCAATGAAAACTTATAATAACAAACTTATAATTGATATTTTAAATTAATGACAGTATAAGATTTAATCAATGTTTACCACAATATTGAAAAATGGTCACTGGTAAAACTTGTATGTCAGTATGTTGCTTTAAAATATGCTAAGAGGAAAAATAGTGTATATAAAAAATAAACAGGAACAGGACTGTTGTGTAAATATCACTTGTTTAACGGTGCTTTGAATGAATGCACTCTTTCCAACAAGAGAGTAACAAAAACAAAGATTTTATAAAAAATATCATGGTTAACATAATACAGTTATTTCATGGGTGTTTGTGGATAAGATAAGATAAGATATAAGATAAGATAAGATAATCTTTATTTAAAGTCGGTTTCATAAAAACATATAAACATTAGCTATGTAAGCTATTTTCCGACAAAACTTATTATCCTATAACAATTCAAACAAACAATCTGTATAAAAGAAAAATATAAAAGTATTAAGAAGATCAATGTACATTTATGAAAGACTCTGTAAAACAGTTAAGATTTATCAGCACATATAAATATGGGTAAGAAAGCATTAAATGATTAAAAGCAAATATACATTACAATCAAACATCACATAAAATTACATCATACAAGAATTCTTTTTATGTACACAACCCTAAAATCAGAAAAAGGATTATAATTTTTTAAAAATTTAATTTTTTAAAATAAATTAAAGTAACTGATTCAATTTTATTTTATTTAAATATAGTTGACCCAATTTCCAGTATGATGCTTGAGCACATATCAGTAGCAGCATCTGATTTGTACTCAGTCATGAAAATGTGGGTGTAACTTAAACATGTACAAGTATCATAATAATAAAACTTAAAATGTTGAAATGTTTGTGTAACAGATGCTGATCTGAGTTGGCCTAGATAAATTCATGGTCTAAGTTATTTACTTAATTAATTAGAACTAAAATAAAATAAAAGTAGAAATAAAAAGGTAAAAATAGACTTAAAGAAGCTATTGTTCCCTTTATGGGATATATGAAAAGCTGATCAGCAGCTGTCACATATACAAACACTAACATGCACTGACAAATGACTATACAAATATACACACAAGAAGCACATGAAAAGCATTACATGATAAAACAGGTCTTATACAGCATTACCCTATGGCAGACAGAAATACAGGAAAAACAAAACAAGAAACAAAAGAAGCATGCAGATTCATTTGATTCACATTTCAAAACTCAACAAAAAACATAACACTTAGGCACACATAGAACATTTGCATTTGAAGCCACTCCAGGTTTGGATAAGCCTCCGAAATTCACCGTAATCAGTTTCTGTTCTTAGTTCATTCGGGAGGCTATTCCAGACCTGGGTGGCCTCATAGCGAAAGCTTTTCTTACCATAAGTCTCTGTATTTACTCTAGGAACTTCAAGTGTGTTGTTATTTCTAAAAGAGTAATAAAAGGAATTTACTTTAATTAGTTCTTGAACATATTTTGGTGATATATTTTGCAAACATTTAAAAACTTCAATAGCTAATTGTCTTAATCTACTGATATGTAAAGTTGGCATATTAGCTTTACTTAAAAGAAATTCATATGATGAGCTGTAATCCTCAAAAACTATCTTCAATGATCTATGTTGTAACTTTTCAAGTTTTTCAGTATTTTGTTTACTACAAAAATGCCAAACTAAAGGACAATAGTTAAAATTTGAACGAACAAAGGATTTCTAGATTAACAATCTAGTATTTTGATTTAAGAATTTACTCAGTCTAGCAAGAATGTTGATTTGTTTTGCAGCCTTTTTGCAAATGTTAGATACATGTAAGTCAAAATTTAGTAAAGAGTCTATTTCAACAGTCAGTGGATCAGTCAAAACTGTTGCCCCGAGGAATCAGGGATGACATTTGGAACTGTTACCAGAGGATGAAGGCAACAACAAACTAATAACAATTTTGCAACTGTTTTAATTGTTTACAACTGAATCCTACGTACGAACCACTACTGTATATTGAGCTGAGCGACAATTGGCTGGCGAAGTCATCGCTGTTTGTTCAAGCTGCCATCTTCATATGAGTTGAAATGTTGCCATCAAATTAAAAAAAATACTTGCCAAAACTTTGCTTAAGGTGGTTAACAAAATATACAATCGTTTTATGCAAAAACTGATATATTTATTTAAACATATGAGGACCTAGATATTAATTGTTTACAACTGAATCCTATAGACGAACCACTACTGTCTATTGACCTGAGCGACAAGTGGCGGGCGGAGTAATCACTGTTTGTTCAAGCTGTCATCATCATATGAGTTGAAATGTTGCCATTAAATTAAAAAAAAATACTTGCCAAAACTTCGCTTAAGGTGGTTAAGAAAATATACAATCGTTTTATGCAAAAACTGATATATTTATTTAAACATATGAGGACCTAGATATTAATTGTTTACAACTGAATCCTACGTACGAACCACTACTGTATATTGAGCTGAGCGACAATTGGCGGGCGGAGTCATCGCTGTTTGTTCAAGCTGCCATCTTCATATGAGTTGAAATGTTGCCATCAAATTAAAAAAAATACTTGCCAAAACTTTGCTTAAGGTGGTTAACAAAATATACAATCGTTTTATGCAAAAACTGATATATTTATTTAAACATATGAGGACCTAGATATTCAAAATAGCAGTGTATGACAATAATATATATCGTCATCTTAGTTTATAAAAAACATAAAATAATATTCAA